TCTTTACCACTAATGACACCATGGAAAGTAACCAAGCAATTTCATGTGTCTACTTTAAGCCTTCCTCCTTGTTTTTTTTATAGAGCTAAAATTGTAGTTAAGTCAAAGGTTTTCATATTAAGTTTCTCATTTACACTAGTTATGGTTTCAACAAGGAGCTTATGATTATAGTATGACTTCACTAAAATGAGAATGACATGAAGTTTAGATGTTAACAAAGATGATATTTTAGAATATATAAAGTACTTAATTGTTAGGTTATTACTGCTAACGTTAACACTGAATACTATATTCAGGTAGTTTTTTTAAGTCTGAATACTTTATTATTAAATCAGCTCTCACTTTCTAGTCTTAGAACACATTTTTATTCAGGTCAGTTTTAAGGTGAAAAAATGGAACTTGTTAACATTTTAGTTTGGGAAGTGATTTTGAAAAAGTGTCTTTAATTGCGCTTTTAAAAAATTCAGTTAATTCAGCAAGGTCAAAGCTACAGCGTCTTTTTTGCAGCCAGCTAAGACCATACTCAAAACTGACTAGAAGCTTTATGACTTCTAAGTTATTTCCAGCCCCCATCTGATGGTGCTACATTTCATTAGAATATGAAGGGACGTGTAAAGGAGCATGTTTTAAAGATACTTGCATTTACTGAATTTAATACCAATGTTAGCCTAATTTTATACGTGAAGTAGTCCTACAGATCAGTAGTTTAAAGCATGTGTCCAAAATTCAACGTTGTTTAACTTCTTAACTATGAACATCTATTTTTAGTGTTTGTGGTTAAAGATTAGCAAAATTGTATTCACTGTCTAATAGTTTCTGTCCTTGTATTTGCTTTATGCGTAAATGACAATATATAAGCTTTGAGATGTGACTGCCCTGAGTTTCTGCAAATGCTCAAACAGGATAATTTTTGCATAAATTGCATGGAAATATTTAGAAGTCCTAAATAGATTGTGCCAAGAAAAATGATTTGTCCAACAATTTAGTGCTGAAACTTGCTCTTCAGAGAAAGCTGCCCTCCTCCCATTCATTCCACATTTAGACATATGGGGGGAGGACTTCTGAAATGCGTGCTCTGTAGATGTATTTTGCATGACCTTGTCAAACAGTCCTTCTAGCACTAGGTGTATTCTATGGGCAGGATACTTCATGCTTCTCCTATATTGTGTAAATTTGTAAAAATTCAGAAATGATTATCACTTTTCTGTAAACTTTCTTACGTAGTCTTAACTTTTAAGTTCAGGTGACAATTTGTCACTTAGCCATATACCTCTGAATCTGTAGGCAGTTATACCAAAACCACGTTTCCAGTTCTGCTGTGTATGAATGCAGATGTGATTCTGGTATTGGAAAGGTAGGTCAAGCAGGATTCAAATGTTTATACAGTTAAATAAAAAGCTAGTGTGAGAATTCATAGTGCTTGGGAGAAGTTAACTATCAGCTCTGGGGGAAAAAACTGGCATTATGTTGTGACATTCCACTGAGATACGGACCTTCTGACACAGCAAGAGATCACTTGCTTCTTAGCACAGAACTGATGAGCCACAGAGGTGAGGGAAATGCAAAATATTTTACAGGAATTCAGCCTTGACAAAAGGGGCTTTTGGAGTCAGGATGATACAAAACGCCTATTAACATATACGCTTATGTATCGATGCCTTTGTACTACTAATTATCTTTAGTTTTCATTATTTCAACACTGTTGATAAGCAGTTATCTTCTAAAACAACCTGGAACTACCTTTAAAACAACAGGGAAATAGTTCTAATTCTTGGGACTATTTCCCTGTTGTTTTAAAGGTAGTTCCAGGTTGTTTTAGAAGATAACTGCTTATCAACAGTGTTGAAATAATGAAAACTAAAGGTAGTTTTCCGTGCACATGGAAACACTCCTAGTTCTTGGGACTATCTAAAACAATCATGTTCAGTGTTAGTGCTTTTTATGCTTGTCCCGGAGACTGAGGAAAATCACAGTGGAAGTTTTCTGATCAAGTAGAGCATGCTGTATTGCAACTGTCCCCTTTCAAAGCATTGTGGATTTTTTTTTTTTTCTACAGCAGAGCTTTCTAGAAAATCTTTGCTGATGTGACCTACATTATTGAAATACTTTTAAGTTCTGCTTTGAAATGAAAGCTTTGTATTTGCATAGAAGATAACTGTGCTCTTTAAAGATACGATGTACATATTTGTGGAGCACAAAGCAGTGTTGTAGCATTATAAAGCCTAGTTGTACAAAGGTTTAAAATGGACCTTGTACCCAAAGAATGACTTACTCCTTTTGAGATAGTTAAATTTCAGGTAATGTTGCTTTATAGTATGTAGTCCATCAGTGTGAATTGGAACAGATGTTAAAAGTTTGAGGCACTGATTACCTAGATATTACCCAAACTCACAAGTGGATAGTGTGATGTGGGTAGTGAGATAGCAGAATACAATTCCCATATTTAAATCCTGCTTTACTTTAGTGTATTCACAACATTTTTACATTGTACGGTGCATGCCTGTTGCATTTTACCTCTGCCAGAAATGAAGTAATATAATTCAAAAAAGCAAACCTCCTTTTTTTTTTTTTTTCTTTATAGACATAAACTTTCTAAGGTGTAAAGAGGATGGGAAAACTTTCTTTCTTCTGCTTCTAGCAGCACAAGACTTTGGATACCCAAAACTTGCAAAACTGAATGATGCAAGGGTGAAGTTACAATCATTGCACCATGTCAGCCAGTGGAGCAGTTTACAAATGAATCGCAAATGCATATTTTATGTTTTACTTTTCCATTTCTCTGTAAGATACATGACCAAGTGGGCCAGTATTAGGAATTAACCATGATGGAGACCTTTCTTACAGGCAAAGTCTACAGTAATGACCATTTGCCAGATAGCCATGTGTTATCTCAACATATACGCATATAGCAATGATCAAAAAATAAATACGAAAATCCTATTTAGTGAGTCTGTAACAAAGACAAAGTGTCACACAGTTAAGTCCAGTTTTTACCAATACTAGTTCTTTTCCCCTATCAGCTACAGAGGTAGCAAAATATGTTTTCTGTTTACTCAGCACTGGTTTTTGCAAGAGCACTTGCTACCTACCAATTACTGACTTCAGCTGAATTTAAGACTTCATTAAAAATCCTGATGAGATACCTTCTGAATGTTAAGGGATAGTAGGGAACAGATCCAGCTTTGTCACTGCTCCCACCTTCCTTCTATAGAAAAGCAAGTTTGCTGTGGTAAGCAGGTTCTTTTCATTGTGCTATTGAGAAACAAACCTGCAAGGGCATGGAAGCAGATTAGTCACTTCAGTTTCATTCTGCTGCTTCTCAGGACAGCTAGAGAACTGAATGAAAGCCAACCAGTCCCAAAATAAGGCTGCTGTGAACTAAAATAGTACCGGCAACTTGTTGGCACTCAAACCAGGTTGAAGATCACCTCGCAAAGTGTCAGCAGCATTTGGTCTGGGACATGGTAGGACACAAGAGAAACTTACTTTTTTAATTTATCATTAAAATTATCTAAAGCCTTCAAAAAAATAAAGGATCTGATCAAATGAACATAGCAGATTGCTTGCCCAACAGGAGCCATTATTCTTTACAGTTTTTTTGAGGGAGAGGGAACTGAAAACTGGGCTTCTCCCTTTTCATCCCAACATTGTATCAAGTTGACTAAATTTTCTAAGAAAGATGAAAGTAAAATCTTAGTTTCATCATGGCTTGTTTTGCAAAGCTGTTGATAAGTCATAGTTTCTGACTCATAGAAAACCTCTATTTCAAAGCTTGTTTTTGCACTCCCCAAACATGAAGAATACCCGCTTGCTGAGGGATGTAGCAAGAAATTAATCTATGTTCTGCTGAACTGTCATGGAAAGTCACAATGAGTGTGGGTCAGATACGTTCTGTCCCATTATATATGTGCTAAGTGGATGGCTGCAGCTTCAGTGAATTTTAATGGTCATGGGATGTGTGTGGTGTATTTCATCCTACTCTGTTGAATTACTACAGTGCAACCCGAGAGTAGACAACAGTGAAATTAAGGCATGATTGCAACATTCCTTTTAAGTGCAATGCAGTCCAGCCAGAAGCCTTGCAAGTGGAAGAGATTAAGGTTTTACACAAACTATTTTCAGTCTCTGAAGGTATCCCAGAAAGACCAAAGAAGTTAGAAGTCATCTTTTTTTCTGTCTTTGTAACTTAGGTGTATTAGAAAACATGTGAGAAAATGTCTTAGTTTAGCATAAAATCAGTGAAAACATTTATGATTTACTACAATGACTTTTATTATCTTCAGTGAAAATATTTGTAAGGCATTATGGTAATTCTTACTAATCTTCATGTGCAAAAAAGTTGTTCTCTATAAGGCTGATAATCTATTAGTAAGCTTTGTGACATTTTCTTTTCATAGTTCAGCTTTAATTTTCCAACTTCTAACTATTTAGTGCTGACCATTTGTAACTCAAGTTGTTGTATGCAAAGGGTCTCAGATGAATTGCCCAGAAGCCGGGAAGTGCAGTCCCAGCACAGGGCTGAGGGCCCATGCGAGGTACTTGGCCAAGCACCAAGCAAATGCTTGCTTTCATATGAGGTGACTGTCCTTCTTGTCCTGTAGTTCCTCACCTTACTCACTATTTAACTTCTGCATGAAATTAAATTGAGGTCTTACAGACAGTCTCCTTCATTAAACAGCCTAATGCTTTACTCTGCTGTGGATCACTAGAACTGATTCAAGCAGTTCTGAAGGAAACAGGCAATCACAGGCTATCAAAGTGCATACACGGAAGAGTTCTTCACAGCGCATCTCTAGTTTTATATTTAGATGCTATTAAACTTACCATTAAAAATCAGGTCTTACTGTTAATAAATTCAGGTATCGTAAACATTTGTATCACTGTCCATCTCCAGTGTCTGAGCGTACAGCCTTTAGAAGGCACCGTTGTCTTCCTATCAAGTTTCCTGTTAAAAAGTACAGAATTTGTATTCCAATACTAAGGATTTTGTTCTCTTTTAGGATCGAAATAGAATGTATGACAGTCTGAATATGCACTCTTTGGAAAACTCCCTTATTGACATTATGAGAGCAGAGCATGATCCACTTAAAGGTATGTTATTATGCTAAATAAAGAAAAAAGGGTCATCCATTCTGCATATTTGAATTAATACGGATTGCTAATTTAGATTCTAGGGTCATATTAAAATAGCAAATGAATTATTTTTCAACTAACATGAAAGGTCAATCTCAAGCTGCATTGTATTGAAAACATTGTTTTACAATTGTTTAAAACTTAAGTTAAGCTTTAGCGGTTTCATAGGTTTTTCTCCCTCTCCCCTCCATCCTTCCCTTCTTTCCCCCAAGGAATTCATAGTTAGTTTTATTTGACATTTACTTGTCTGCTGTAGGAAATTCTACCTCAGTTTGTAAAGACACCCTTCTGTTACAGGTAGCCAAAAGAGGGTGGGAGGGGAATCAAACCGCTACCAGTGTTAGCCAGTTAATTTTCCCTTTCTTTGCGGTGGAAGCTGAAAAGAAAATTAAGTCCACTGATAAATTCAGTTTTTGTCCTTTCAAATATTTTTTCAAAGCCCCTGGAGGATAAGAATATATCTAATTGTCCAGTTTCTGTTTGTCCGAAGTCCAGAAATACACTTGGCTTTAGGATGCTGGTTCCTGTTACCCTTCTGGGCTCTGTTCAAAGAATTTGGCCATAGCAGTTAGCATATAGTTAATATTTGTGGGCTTCAATTTTAATTGCTGTATTCACTGTGCAGTAACTCACCCTTTTGAATTCTGTTTTTCCATACTTATTCTCCGGTGGAGTTTACTGTTGAACCTTGGAGCAGGGAGCCCAAGCCGTTTTATTTGACCTGATCAAATGTTATTTCATTTATGGTGTTACAATCAGACTAACACAATCTAACTTTAAAATTATGCAAGACTCCAGGCTTGCTTTGCAGAAATTAAGTCTCAGTATTGAAGCAATCGAAAAAAAAATTCTTTCTTTTTATACCATTATTTGCTCCCATCCAGTCTCCATTTCTAGAGGCTCCTAGACTTGATATATATTACATTGGCACGTAAGGGCCTGTGTTCTCCTAATTTGAAAGACACTTTGCTAGAGTCTGTTCATGGTTCTCTTAAGATCTGTAATCAATTGGAAGACTTGTAGTATTCAGATAGCATGTAATAGTATTGTAAGATTTACAATGTAAAGTCGAAAGTTTGTTTGTTTGTTTGTTTTCAAGCTGAAAATCTTTACAAAGGATTAGTCAGTAGGTAGCATTTTGTTAGCCAGTTAATTTTCCTCCTCTTTAGGGTGGAAGCTGAAATTAAATTTTTTTAGATGTTCTTAAATCTGTTCTCTTGTTTCTTATTGCCTATAGAGAATTAATTCCCGTTTTAACAATTTTATCATTTAAGTCCATTATTAAATTCCATTTCTGTCTATTCTGCATGTTTACAAAACCTTACTAAGTAACACAAAGGGGCTGAAACCTGTGAACAGTTAGCCCACTGGTAACTACTGTGGACTTAAAAGCATGCATATGTCATCACAGACAAGGTAACTAGTTAGATCATCCCTGTTTCAAAGCACTGTTGCTTCAATTTGCCACACTCGGGTGGTGACTAATATTTATTTGGTTATCTGAACCCAAATCTACCGTCAGGAAGGATATTAAAAGGTAAAGCTACTGTTAGTCATAAAATTAGAGAATGCAGATCTTCTATTGCAATATGCTGTCATTGGCACCTTTCACATTCCTGAAAACCAATCGGTTTCTTGACTTTTTTCTATGCTTGCTGACATGACAAATGGAAGTGGTTGCTCTGTCCCCCCTGCCATCTCGCTGTTTTCATTTTGGCTTTATAATGCAGAAGAGTTTTCAGAGGCACAGTGAGCACAGAAAAGACCCATTTTTACTTTTATTCATCTCTTCATATTTCATTATGATACAATAGATGAAAACGATGTATTTCCAATAAAAATTTTTCAGTGAGAGTAAGACAAGACAAAGCTTTAAGATTATAAAGTGAATTGGGTTCATACGTAGACACTTTTGAAAAACTCAGTAAAGTTTCCATAATTATTCTGTCCTTTCTAGGGACATGTGTATATGGTTTCAGTCTACAGTTAGATTTTTTTTTTAACAGTTTCACCATCATACTCTTGCAGTGAAAATTCTGCTAAGTGTTATGTTTGAACTAAAACAGATGGAAGCCATAGATAGTGATGAATTCAAAGGAAATCCATTTTTTTGTTCGAGTGCCAGAGAACAATGCAAACGCCAACTGAATTTAAATAGAGTGATTGTGTGCTGTTATTTAAATTGGTTGATCGAGATTTTTTTTTTCTCTTTGGAAGTTGTTATTTCAGCTGAAACAGTTACGTTATTAACAGTAACACAGGAGAAATGTTCCTTACTGACTGAAAATGGGAAGAAGAGATCACATCCTAGAATAGCCTTTTAGTTCCTTTCTACCCCTCTTCTGTTTAGTCACCATTAGTTGGCATTTCTGTAATGTCCTAGCAACTTTAAGGGTTTGTTGTTCTTTTTTTTCTGCAAAGCATGAAACACTAATTTTGTTGTTTCAGTCTCTGTGGCTTTTCTTTTCACCACAGGAAATCTGACATTTACTTAAGAACCCATCATATTTGCTTGCAGAATGCGCGGGATTAAGAATATTATTGTTATTTATTTGTTGTTCTTATTAATATATATAACATACTTCTGTTGTAACTAAAGAATATTTTGTAACTAGAGAGTATTTTTATGACAAGTTTTTAAGTAAATCTAAGCACACCAAGACAATGCATCTTTTATATCTGACCACAGCAGTAAAACGAAAGTCCCTGGAATTTTAAGCACGTGTTTCAGATTTAGCTGCTTACAATATCTGGAGTATGACTAAGCATCTTGTCTCAGATTTTGCACAATGCAGAACAGACACTGTGTGTACTAGCTCACAGCTTTAAGTTTTGCATTTCAAGATCCATTTTAGAAGGAAGTAAAATTTCACCACTTTTGCTTTCATGAACTTGAAAAAACTTTATTTCAAATATTTCACTGAAAGCTAAGTTTATGCCTGCCAAAAAATTGTTTATAGATGCATAGTTTCGGCTTCACTTAGACAACGTTTAGTCATTACTCCAGACACGATCAAAAGAAAGAAGTAATTTTTAGCTTTCAATAAGACATTTTTTCAAGGTAGGTTAATAGGGAATAGATGCTTAACTTCACTAGACATTGCAGCAGAAATACTGATCATATTAAAACTAATCTTTCCCATGCAGCTTTCTTGAAATGCATTTCATAATAAGACATTAAGTAATGTTTAAGATTACCCCATCCAATCAATGTAATATAAACTGAAGTTAAAATTAATAAAAGTTAAATTAATTCATTTTTACATCACTGTTCTTAAATACCCTTTTAATTCTTCTAGTAGCCCTTAAAACTATTTTGAGAGAAGAATTGCCATATTGATAGCCTGAAATACATGAGTATTGATAGTATAACTCTTGTCCAGACATACCTCTTGTGTACTTGCATTTTTTTTTCCCTTCTTCTCCCCCAAATACCAATGCTTCTTGATGTCAAGATGTAAAAAACTTGTGTTCTAGACATTTCATAAACCAGGAAAGCCAATACATTTGGGCTAAAACAGATTATGGAAAAAACTTAGAAGAAATGGTTATATTTTGCACGGAATATGTGTTAGAATTGGGGAGCAGGTGATTTCATGGAATTTATTATCTACTGTTTTAAAATCTTTCTAGTAAAGACTATGGTATTTACCATGTAATTTAAGGGCTTGTCTTTTGTAAGGCAAGAGTATTAATACTGTGCTCAATTTACAATTCATTTCTGTTTCCTGACCAACTCCCTTATAGCTCTCCAAGCTAGATGTAAAATATTACTGAACTTGAATTAGCCATAGCTATATTAGTGGGAGTAACAAGAAGGAATATTAACGTTATGTTGAATTTTTCTTCTGCTTCTTTGTGAGGGGCAAAACAAATTTTTTAGGGAAGTTACACAAATATATTTTTTGTATAGCTAGTAATAAATAATAAAAGTAAAACACTATTATTTGGCCTATCTGTGGGGAAAAAATAACTTGATGCACTTAGAAGTCTGTCTTGCTTTTTCTTGGTTTTATTTTCCCTTTAAATTGGTTTAGTTGAGCTTTTCAGCTGTTAGACGTCTTTTTTTAAAAGCAACCTGGTGACGCATGCTCAGTGAAATAAAAAGAAAAGCATTGGTGACTCAGCAGCACAGTAGAGAACATTTTCTTACTTTGCATATGGTAACTTTTGTTTTCAAAGAAATTTGTTTTATATTTTGTGTTATGAAGCTCTAAGGTTTAAAGTTATGCAGTTGCTTCCTAGAGTAATTCAAATTGCACTCAAAAAGAGTTTCTGAGGCTGAACAAAAAAGTATGGCAGGAAAAACTTTCCTCTTAGTCATATAAAAGGCTTGGAAATTGTACATACAGATTGTTCCCTCTTTCTGTCATAGAAACTTTTTATGATAAAAGAATATATTTAAGACTGATAGACTGATTTGCCTAAATAGATCGACTATCAGAGCCAACACATTTGGCCTCAGTATGACTTATATAATTCTTACACAAGTGTTTGAAAGCGTAGTATCTAGGCTTTCTGTAACTAGGTGTTGTCCAAACATGATGTTGTGCTGTTGTCGTAACTACGCTGATTCAAAAACTAAGCTTTCTGAAACTGCTGCAATCCTCAGCCATTCACTGGTCTGTTAAAGTAGTTTAGCAAAAGCTTAACTTGGAAGCTTTTTCTCTTCTAGTCAGGAGAGCTCTTGAAAAAAGGAAGATGGGAAAGGAATTTGTGATTCTCAGTCTCTTCATTCAACCATTTAAGACTTAAAAAGTGGGAGGGGGAGTAGACATGAAATATCAAACTTGTGAAACTGTGAGTCAGTAATGTTTAAAGCGGTCGTTATACTTAAATCTATCCCAAATGTTTTAATATATGGGGATTCCTCCAACAGTTTAGTTAAATAGGAATAGAAAGTATGCAGTTCCAAAAGTAGATATGAATTTGCTTTAAAATAAAAAGTGAGTAAGCACAACTACATCTGTATGCTCAGAAGAAGCTGACAAAAAATTTTAGATTTGCATTGCTCATATTAGTAACATAAGATTACAGAAATGTAGCTAGAACTAAGTTTGTTACAACACTTTCCTCATGGTTTGGATTAGCAAGACTTTTAACTGGATTTAGTGAATAAACTGGCCCACCAATATTTATTTTTTTTCTTACAGAAGAATACACTGTAAGAAATACATACCAGGCACTTCTGTTAACATTAATCACATTTAGATACAGAAGAGGGAGCTAAATTTAATAGAACTCTAGTTGCATAAGAAATGTCAAACATACTTGCTTCTCCATAGCAATACTATTTTGAATTTAGCCATGGTACATGAGAATTACTAATTAGCAGTAACGTGATGAAGTTCCAAGTCCAGGTTTGCACAGAGAAAATTTCTATAACATGATACTTTACGATACAGTACTGTAATATTAGACATTGTGTTTGTTACAGATAGCAGCACATTACTAACTTCGGATGCTGTAGAGCTAAATTCTGTAGACAGTCAGTGAATTGATTACTTTTCATTTCTCAGGAATGGAATACATCTATTCTTTAAATATTAGATATTCTCTAGCTGATTTGTAGTTGATTTTAAACTAGTAAAGCATCTTTATATATTATTAAAATTTCTTTTTTAAGCAGGCGGAGGCCACTGGAATTGCTAGACTATCTATTGAATGGTTTATACGATTCTAGATTACTGACATTGAAGTAGGATGGGATTAGACAGGATTTGTGGTGACGGCAGTTCGTAAAACAGTACATTTTTTTTTAAACGCATCAAACAACATGCAGTGAAATTAGCTGACTAGAAAGAAATATGTGATAGAAGCAAAGTAAATTGATATAAGATGGGGCTCCCATCTTCTGTATTTTGTATACTGATATTTTAAATCAGGTTTAATATTGTATATGTCCATTTAACTAGAATAATCTGTTAAAAATAGTGTAATCTGAGCTCTGTATAAGACTGATCTTGCACCTACTTCCATGAATGAAGTGTTCTGAATTTATGTATATCATTAAATTCAGGTGGACACCCTAAAAACACTGCATTTTGCTTCAGCAGATTAAGCTGAGGGATAAAAGCCTAAGTTAACCTATCAAATAGCAGTGATTGTATTTTGAAAAAGTAAGCAAACCTATGTTAAAAATGTTTTTAACATTGTAAGTCCAAGTACTAGACAATGTAGTACACACAAGTATTAAGTTCACCAGAATGCAATAATACAAAGTACTCTAAGTATATATAAAAGAAGTGTCGGTACAGCTGTACATGTACTGAATACCGTGTTACTCCTTTTCCTTTCTAACCCTCAAATCATTCATTATCTGAGCTAGCAAATTCATCTCCGTAACACAGCAAGACTGGGTTTCTTTGCATTTGTGTGATTCATAGGTTTTACACTGCAGTAGTGGGCCCAGCTCCCTAGTGCACTCTCTCCCCACTACTTAATGAGGAGTCCTTTATTTCAACTTTTTCAGTTTGGCACCTATGTTTCAGATGCAGCTTATTTGTGAAGCTATAGGGGGAAAAAAAAGCAAAAGAATGCAAACCCAGAGTTGTAAACCCAGAATTTACTATCTTCTAAAACAGTTTTCCTTTCCAAGTGTTGACACTGGTGGGTTTCTCTCTTCTGCTAGGCCTTAAATCTGACCTCTTTTTCTGTAGTAATTAGAGAAAAAAAAAAGTATCTTCTGTCTCCCTTGCTGAATAGGAAAAGAAGATAAATGTATACGGACAGGGAGAAAGACTGTCACCACAGACTCAAGGAGGTTCAAGATGAGATAATCACTTCTCACAATTTCTATTGTTATTCTAGATAGATAAAGCATTCTGATTTGCAAGAAAGAGCTCATATTGTTGCAAGTATTTCTATAGCACCATATATAAACATGATGATGACAGTAAATAATCTTGTAAAATCCTTGCTGTTAGGCAAATGAGTATTACCTTTATAGACCAGAGAACTAAGAAGTAAAGCAAAGTGACTTGTTATACACCAGGCTGAGCAAACCAGTGGCAGCTCCCAGGTTGCAGTTTAAGGATGCCTTGTTCCTAATTCTTTTCCTATTATACCAGCAGGCATTGCTAGAAGGGCAGAATATTTATAGTTCCAAGAAACATTAGGTATAGCTGTAAATGTTCAGCATGACAGAAAAAATGGCTTGTATGTTAAAACTGGACATAGTTTTAGACAGACAAACTGAAGATAAGGAGCATGAAGACAGAGGCTCCTACAAAGATTTTCATTTAGTATCTTGCCTAAACCTGCTCAAAAATTCTATAGAAGTTAGAGAAAACAGCAGAGTCCTTTTGGGTGGCATTCATCTGCCCTTTTCCAGGAGGCTGCCCTTGCCCTTCACCGCTTTCTCCACACTTTCAAATTCCAAAGCAAATAGTTCCTACCTAATCTGCAGGTGTTCTGATACCATCCATTCTTACAATAATGAAATCTGTGGGAAGAGAAGTAGTACGGGGCTGTATAGAAATCTTTTTGCCACAACGCCTGTAAATAATAAGGCTGAATAAAATATCCTAAATGATCTTAATCTTGCTATTTTGAAGTTTTGAGTGTAAGAGTTCATAACATGTATTTTTTCTATATTTTTGGTAGAAAATTATTGTGTTTGTTTCCTAAAGGGGAAGAGCAAAACTTAAACCCTATTACTTACAGTTTTTCAGCAAAAAGGTTTTTTATTTAACCCCAAAGGTGTCCCTTGGGACACAGAACTACTATTTTGAGAAATTTTCAGTCTTGCTGCTAATGACATGGATTT